TGCCCGCGCCCTGCTGCTGGTCCTGGCCGGGGCCCTGCTGGCGTCCCGCGCCGCCCGAGGTAAGTCCCCGCGCGCAGGCGGCTGTCCGCGTCCCCTCCGGGCCACCGCGCGCGACGCGGGGCGGTGGAGCATCTGGGGAGCCCCGGGGCTCGCGCGCCTCGAGCGGAGACACCGGTCTTCAACCGGGTGCCCGTTCCCGGGGGCGGGGAAGACGGAGTCTGGGATCAGGAACCCCGAAGCAGCCGGTGCCTGGGAAGAATGGCACCGCCGGGCGCTGCTCCCCTCGCCCCCTCCCCTTTCGGGGTGACATCTGCTCCAGTGGTTCTCGTTGTCTTGAAAGTTGCACGTGACGCCTGGGGTCGTCTTACTGATCCTGTCCCCTAGTTAGTCCTCCATCCGTCTCTGGGCCAACCCTCCAGCCTTGGCACCCCTGGGGGTGCGCAGCGGCCTCGCAGGTGAGCCAGCCCCTCCCTCCACAGGCGTACCCGCTGCGCTCGCTGTAGTTTTATTTTTTTAATTGAGTCTCTTAACTGCGTCGTCCCCTCCCCTTCTCACTGTACTCCCTAACAATAGCGATCAAAGTTCAGCACTACACCCCCACCCCCCTCGTCTTAATCAGATCCTTGGAGGTGAAAAATCGCTTACATCAAGACTCTGGGTAGAGACAGAACTCACTTCGGAGTTAAACTAAAGTGCGTCTATTAACGGCGCTTTGCAAACTTGTATTTTCCGGAGTTGAATTCCCTTAAAACCCAGCACCTGTGGATCCCTTTGCGTAATGGGAACTCACAGCAGGTGCCTTTTTAAAATTCGGGAGCTTCCCTTGTCCCGGTCTCCGCCGGCTCCCCTCAGACGCTAGGGGCGCCGTCGGACCACCAAGAATAAGTCACCTTGGCTTCAAACTTATAATTTCTGTGATTCTACATAGCAGGCATTTAGTTTTCAACAGCCGGCCCTCTGTCATCAACCGTTGCCACCACAGCACGTTTTATTTGTCGCTGCTACCCTTCATCCCCACCATGTCTGTCATAAATCCTAGTTCTTGCTAAGATCCACACAGCCGGGGTAGACCCGATTGGCAATTGGTGATTAGATAACAAGGTTGCACGAAGCAAGGAAGGAACAGCAGTGAGAAAGGCGAGCATCTTCCCCGCTATTTCGAGAACTCTGAGGTCTGTAAATGAAAATAACGGTAGTCAAAGGTGTTTTGAAAGACTTGTACAGACGGATCCCTTTGAATGTTTACCGCAAATGAACTTTAAAAAATTTAAAGTCAAAATGTGCCAGAGGTGGGCTTGAACTTGGAATGTGCTCCACACACAGACAGAAGTCTGAGCACAGATGATAGTTTTTAAAAGCAAATGTTTATTAAAGATAATAATGGGAAATTATTTCATTGGGGGGGTGTTTCTTCATTGCTGCAGGGTTGGGGGCCTGAGCTTTTCCTTGGGATCCATACAACTTTAGTCAAGCAGCAAGGTCTAAACACTGTTAATGGCTTACATATTGTGGTTTGATATGCCAAGTTCACGGCTTGTTTACACTTAGATTCTCGGGATCAAATCTCAGTCTGTGCCCCAAATCATGTCACTGAGGTTGTTTAAAAATCCAAACATAGGAAACATTTATTCATGTTGGCAGAGAAGAGGAATTATTACTTGTTGAGGGCAGAGCATATCCTAAGTTTGACCATAGTTTTCTTCTTTACCCTGAGCCCCAGTGCGGCTTAGCCCTAACAAGTCCAAAACTGAACACTGGATTCTAAGCCCTCCATTCCCCGACCCCTCCACCAGCAATCTCCCTCACTCTGGTTATGACATCCTTTCTCCAGAAGCCTCATACTGACGTTTCAGGAGTCACCCCCGAGTCTCCCTTTCAGGACATAAGCCACAATTACCAGCAGGTATTCCCATCTCCTGCCACCTCAAGTGTCCCTTCCCATCCAGGCTGCCGCCATCAAATCCTGCTGCAGATTTCTTACCCCCGCAGTACAGTGGAGCTGCCTCCTGAGTTCTGTCAGCATTTCCTCTTGTCCTTTATGTGGGTGTTCTCTCCAACACTATAGCCAAAGTTGCTCCTCCGTCCTGAAGTACACTGTGCACGTTATCTTTGTTTGGTGACTGACACCTTTCCTGCAACCCTCTGTCTTCCTGTTCCAACATGAACTGGTTATGTTTGTGTTTGTCCCTGTGTATGTGTGTTCATTCATGTTCACATGTGTGTGGGTGCATGTGAAGGTCAGAGGGTGACCACAGGTGTCTTTCCTCAGGTACCCATCCACTTTTTGGAGACAGGGTCTCTCACTGGCCTGGAACTCACCAGGTAGGCCAGACCGGCTGACCAGCAAAACCCAAGAATCCTCCTCCTCCACTGCTCCCGGGCTGGGATTACAAGCACGCCTGGCTTTTTACATGGGTTTCGGGAATTGAACTCGGGTCTTTATGCTTACACAGCAGGCAGTTTACTGACTGAACCATCACCCATCCTCATGAACTAGTTTTTAGAAGCACAGTTCAGCAGTTGCCCAAGGACTATCCGTAACCAAGAGCCTGGAAACTTCTTTCACATTTTCCCCATGTGGCTCACCCCCCTTCTGAGCACACTAACTTTCTCTTCCTTTTGTTTCTTATTTTTGGGGTGTCCATCTTCAAGGAACTTCCTTAGGAAAAAAGTTGGGGAGATAGTTTCTTGATAACTTGTGAATGTGTAATGGCTGCTTTAAGTTGCTGGTGGTAGAAAACCTGGTTGTGGGATGTTTTAGTGCTGTTTTCTCACACAGAAAGTGGTTGGCAACTGAGCAGTGTTGAAGCAGATTTTACTGGTGTCAGTGGTGCGACCAGGGACATACAGTCCCTTTGTGTTGCATCAACCTGTTCGTACACGGGAACGTCTACATTCTGCCTTACTGCCTCATGTCTCATGATGGCGGCTGCCATTCTTGCTCTTCCATCTGCTTTCCAGGCAGCAACAAAGCAGAAGAGGCAAAAGGCAAAGACAGACAATTCCATTTTCAAGTTTATGTCTATTTTATGTGTGTGAGTGTTTTGCCTGCATGTAGGTAAGTGCACCCATGTGCAGTGCCTGCAGAGACCAGAAGAGGGCATCAGAGCCCCTGAAACTGGAGTTATGGACAGTTGTTAGCTGCCATGTGGGTGCTGGGAATCAAATCCCAGAGAAGTCAGTGCTCTTAACTGCTGAGCCGTCTCTCCAGCCCTGATGATTACTTTCTTTTTTTTTGAGACAGTGTCTCCCTGTAGCCCCAGCTGGCCTTGATCTTGCTATGCTGACCAGGCTGGCCTCAGTCTCACAGAGATCTGCCTGCCTCTGCCTCCTGATTAAAGGAGTGTGATGCCACCACACCCAGCAGTAATTTCATTTTTTATCTGGAAATTAATATTGTTATACTTCTTTTAGTGAATATCTTCAGATCTCTAATTGGCCACACTATGACATGGGACCATTGTCAGCTGCATGGGATGATGGGAGAGATTATGTATAGCTGTGTACGGTGGTGCTTTGAGAAAACCAGGGGTCTTTAAGAACGAAGATTGTGTCTGCCATACTTTACATGGTACACAGACACACACAGAGACTTTATGAGTATAAAATTATCGTACTTGATATAGAAACATCTACTCCCCATCATTTCACTCCTTCTTCTCCTTCCTTATGGAAACAACATTAAATCCATTTTAAAGTGTTTTGAAACCTTTTCAAAATCTACAAAAACTCAAAGTCAACATATATCTAATTGGACAAATGTGGCAGGTGTGGAAATTGCCAATTTTTTTTTAAAGGAATGAAGTTACATAATTTAAAGAGGCCAGGCACGTTCCTTTTGCATAGATGACGATTTTATATATGTGTGTGTGTGTGCACATGTGTATGTGTGTTGTATGTATATGGTGCAGTATATATTATATATGTGTGTGTGCATACATTTATATATACATGCAAGGTATGACATGCATTCCAGTCTTTTTTCTTGTGTGTGTGTGTGTGTGTGTGTGCGTGTGTGCATGTATACATGTATACACGAGTCTCCATTCCAATCCTGACTGCTAGCTTGGTTGGGTATAAACCAAGTGGTGGAAGTCATACATGCTCAACACTCCATCAGGTATTTCTGCGTTCCTCTATGCCCACGATTTCTTGAGACATAGAAATCAGTGGCGTGCTCATTGTCCATCTTTTAAAAAAATTTTGTTATTTTTATTGTATGTGTATAAGTGTATTGCCTGCATGTATGTAAGTGCACCCATGTCATGCAACACCCGTGGAGGTCAGAAGGGGGCGTCAGATCCCCAGGACAGTTGTCAGTTACCATGTGGGTGCTGGGAATCGAACCCAGGTCCTCTGCAAGAGCAGCCAGGGCTCTGAACCGCTGAGCCATCTCTCCAGTTCCTCGTCCATCTTTTAGATCCAGTTTTTTTTCTTTCTTTCTGGAAGTTACTATCTTTTCTTTCTCATTGCAGTTTTTGCATTTTGTGTGATGTGCTTTAGGATTTTTGTTTTCAATAACTATAGTAGGAACTCGGGGACTGTTAGCTACAAGTTCTGTTTGCTTTCCTGTATTAGTTCTTCAACTAGTTCTTCTTCCCTATTCGTTTTCTGTTTCTGTGTTTTATTTTATTTTATTTTGTTTTGTTTTATTTTATTTTATTTTATTTTGTTTTATTGGATAGTGGCTTAACTATATTTTCCAGCCCCTCTATTCAGTTTAAAAATGTTTGCTGGTATACATTTGATTTTTTAAGAGTTTTTCCTGTTATATTAGTTATTAACGATTACAGTGGATTATTCCTTTGGTCGTGCATACAGGGTTTCCTGTGGGCCCTGGCAGCATGATTGCTTGGTTGGCACTCTGTTCACCTTAAGGTAACTGTTAATTTTGATATTTTTCTTTTCTCCATTTGGTACAATTTCTTTCTTAATAATGGGATGTTAAGCTGATTGGGAATTCTCTGTGCTTCCACAGATGAATTTACTGATGGTGGAGGGGGCCACATTTTATTGGGAGATTTCCATGTATCGCTGATTCTGTGTGTGTGTGTGTGTG